TCATCTTTTCTAATTTTTCTCGAAATATGTGGGCTTAACCCCTACGAAAAAATCAGGTTTTTCAATAAATGCTAAAATCAGAGATTTTGGCTCCTCATTGTTGATAAATAATTACTTAATCACATTAGAAATTAGTATTATTGTATGTTAAAATTATTTTCATGATACATGGGCATGGTTTCTATTTTTCCAACAGGCAATTTATTTAAATTTCATATTTCATTTAATCAGTGGGCAAACCCCCTACAAAAATTATATTTCTTGAGAAACATGAAACTTGAGAAACATTTAATCAGAGGTCTCAAACCTCTTTAACCTTCATACTATGTCACTGAATGATGCAAATATGTATTAAAACAAAATTTTAATATTTTCTAATTTTTTCTCGAAATATGTGGGCCCTACGAAAAAATTGTGTTTTTCGATAAATGCTATTATCAGAGATTTAAGCTCCTCATTGTTGTTAAATATTTACCTAATCACATTATAAATTAGTATTAATGTATTTTAAAATTATTTTCATGATACATGGGCATCGTTTCTATTTTTCAGACATGTAATTTATTTAAATTTCATATTTCACTTAATCAGTGGGCAAACCCCCTACAAAAATTCTATTTTCTTGAGAAACATGAACACCTAAGGTCTCAAACATCTTTAACCTTCATACTATTTCACTTAATTATGCAAATATGCATAAAAACAAAATTTACATATTTTCAAATTTTTCCCGAAATATGTGGGCTAACCCCTACGAAAAAATTGTGTTTTTCGATAAATGCTATATTCTGAAATTTAGGTTCTTCATTGTTAATAAATAATAACCTAATCACATTCTAAATTTATATTAATGTATGTTAAATTTATTTTCATGGTACATAGGCATCGTTTCTATTTTTCCAACATGTAGTTTATTTAAATTTCATATTTCACTTAATCAGTGGGCAAACCCCCTACAAAAACTTTTTTTTTCTTGAGGAACATGAACACCTAAGGTCTCAAAACTCTTTAAACATCACACTATGTCACTGAATGATGCAAATATGCATTAAAACAAAAAATTTAAATTTTCTAATTTTTCTCGAAATATGTGGGCTAACCCCTACGAAAAAATCAAATTTTTCGATAAATGTTAAAATCAGAAGTTTATGCTCCTCATTGTTGATAAATAATTACCTAATCACATTATCAATTAGTTTTAATGTATGTTAAAATTATTTTGATACATGGGCATCGTTTCTATTTTTTCAACAGGTAATTTATTTAAATTTCATATATCACTTAATCAGTGGGCAAACCTCCAACAAAAACTCAATTTTCTCGAGAAACATGAACACTTATGGTCTCAAACCTCTTTAACCTTCATACTATGTCACTGAATGATGCAAATATGTATTAAAACAAAATTTTAATATTTTCTAATTTTTCTCGAAATATGTGGGCCCTACGAAATTATCGAGTTTTTCGATAAATGCTATTATCAGAGATTTAGGCTCCTCATTGTTGTTAAATAATTACCTAATCACATTATAAATTAGTATTAATGTATTTTAAAATTATTTTCATGATACATGGGCATCGTTTCTATTTTTCCAACAGGTAATTTATTTAAATTTTATATTTCACTTAATCAGTGGGCAAACCCCCTACAAAAATTCTATTTTCTTGAGAAACATGAACACCTAAGGTCTCAAACCTCTTTAACCTTCATACTATTTCACTGAATGATGCAAATATGCATTAAAACAAAATTTACATATTTTCAAATTTTTCCCGAAATATGTGGGCTAACCCCTACGAAAAAATTGTGTTTTTCGATAAATGCTATATTCTGAAATTTAGGTTCTTCATTGTTGATAAATAATAACCTAATCACATTCTAAATTTGTATTAATGTATGTTAAAATTATTTTCATGGTACATTGGCATCGTTTCTATTTTTCTAACAGGTAGTTTATTTAAATTTCATATTTCACTTAATCAGTGGGCAAACCCCTACAAAAACTCTATTTTTCTTGAGAAACATGAACACCTAAAGTCTCAAAACTCTTTAACCTTCACACTATGTCACTGAATGATGCAAATATGCATTAAAACAAAATTTTCATATTTTCTTATTTTTCCCGGAATATGTGGGCTAACCCCTACGAAAAAATCAGGTTTTTCAATAAATGCTAAAATCAGAAGTTTAGGCTCCTTATTGTTGATAAATAATTACCTAATCACATTATAAATTAGTATTAATGTATGTTAACATTATTTTCATGATACATGGGCATCGTTTCTATTTTTCCAATAGGTAATTTATTTAAATTTCATATTTCACTTAATCTGTGGGCAAACCCCCCTACAAAAACTCTATTTTCTTGAGAAACATGAACACCTAAGGTCTCAAACCTCTTTAACCTTCACACTATGTCACTGAATGATGCAAATATGCATTAAAACAAAATTTTCATATTTTCTAATTTTTCTCGAAATATGTGGGATAACCCCTATGAAAAAATTAAGTTTTTCGATAAATGCTAAAATCAGAAGTTTAAGCTCCTCATTGTTGATAAATAATTACCTAATCACATTATAAATTAGTTTTAATGTATGTTAAAATTATTTTCATGATACATGGGCATCGTTTCTATTTTTCCAACATGTAATTTATTTAAATTTCATATATCACTTAATCACTGGGCAAACCCCCAACAAAAACTCAATTTTCTTGAGAAACATGAACACCTAAGGTCTCAAACCTCTTTAACCTTCATACTATGTCACTGAGTGATGCAAATATGTATTAAAACAAAATTTTCATATTTTCTAATTTTTCTCGAAATATGTGGGCTAACCCCTACGAAAAAATCAGGTTTTTCAATAAATGCTAAAATCAGAAGTTTAGGCTACTCATTGTTGATAAATAATTACCTAATCACATTATAAATTAGTATTAATGTATGTTAAAATTATTTTCATGATACATGGGCATCGTTTCTATTTTTTCAACAGGTAATTTATTTAAATTTCATATTTCACATAATCAGTGGGCAAACCCCCCTACAAAAACTCTATTTTCTTGAGAAACATGAACACCTAAGGTCTCAAACATCTTTATCCTTCACACTATGTCACTGAATGATGCAAATATGCATTAAAACAAAATTTTCATATTTTCTAATTTTTTCTCGAAATATGTGGGCTAACCCCTGCGAAAAAATCAAGTTTTTCGATAAATGCTAAAATCAGAAGTTTAGGCTCCTCATTGTTGATAAATAATTACCTAATCACATTATAAATTATTATTAATGTATGTTAAAATTATTTTCATGATACATGGGCATCGTTTCTATTATTCCAACATGTAATTTATTTAAATTTCATATTTCACTTAATCAGTGGGCAAACCCCCTACAAAAATTGTATTTTCTTGAGAAACATGAACACCTAAGGTCTCAAATCTCTTTAAACTTCATACTATGTCACTCAATGATGAAAATATGCATTAAAACAAAAATTTTATATTTTCTAATTTTTTCCGAAATATGTGGGCTAATAATTTTTTCCGAAATATGTGGGCTAACCTCTACGAAAAAATCGTGTTTTTCGATAAATGCTATATTCTGAAATTTAGGCTTTGATAAATAATTATCTAATCACATTCTAAATTTGTATTAATGTATAATACGAAGGTTAAATAGGTTTGAGATGTTAGGTGTTCATGTTTCTTCAGGTATTCTAAATTTTAAATACATTACATTAAGTTGGGGGTTTTAACTAATGTGTGGAGATAGTCGGGTCAGTTATAAGTTTAGGCTGGGTTAAAAAGGGCCCAAGAAAAGCCCGTCTAATCACGTAAAGCGAGAAAAGTAATAAAGGCATACACGGAGAGTATGTGCAGAGGAAAATTAGAGAGGGAGGCAGACGGTTTTAATTTCTCAGAAGGTCACGGGGAAGAAGACAGACTGTGGCTTTTTGTGTTTCCAGCTGCCATAGCTTCTTATTCTTCTTCTGGTGCGTTCTGCTTACTCCCTCACGCGACATGCAGTTGGTATCTGATCATTATAGCTCATTTCATTTTAGGTTTATGAAATTGAATACGAAACTAAAGTGTGGAGTAAAAATTGTTGAAAGTGAAAGGGACGACACGAACTTGACTGAGTTACCAATCCAACAATAAATAAAAAAAATAATGATCAAAAGCAGCTTAACTAAACCACAAGACAATGAGCTGGCCACCAATCACTCTTCGTTCATATTTGCCACCAGACAGTTTGCGAATGTTGACGTTGAATTGTTTTAAACACGTAAACTGAACAGAAAATACATATAATCTAACTTCCGAAATTTCCTGCGCCGCCAAGCCAATCCAACTCAGCATCAACATTTACGCGGTTAATTGACCCACCTCTCAGAGTTTCCGTTTGTCTCTTTCTCCAATCTTATTACTAGTAGTATATTATGTGCATGGTGGACTATTCCCTATTATTAATAAGCATATTATTTATCGAATAGCAGCTACTTGTACCGAACAAGATGAACTTAATTATAACTTATAAGTAGTATTTGCAAATTAGATACCAAGCATGGACAATATGTGCCTGTAACCTAGTACTAGTACACGATAAAAGATTTACAAAATTGGAAGAAAAAAAAATGTGCAGTAAAGAATAGTCTTTTTTTTTAACTTGAAGTAAAAAAGAATCTTACTGGAGATTCAAATCAAAGCAGCTTAGAAATCCACACAATGAAGATGAAAGAAAGCCTATACATAAATATACAGCAAGCATTTCAAGCATGGACGGTTTCTTTCATTAAATAATCACCTCCCAAAGCTATAGAGTAGTATATAAATTATTAATTGATGAAGAAAGAAGAAGTAGGTAGGGCCTCTTGTATTACCACTTGACAAACCAAAAAAAACACGGAATTAGCGTATAATTGGAAAGCATCCTCCCACCCGTTGGACTTTAAATACTTCCCCGAGTCATTGAACTCCAAAACTCACACCTTCAACCTTTCTCTTCATTTTACCATCCCACCTCCTAATCATCAAATTAAGTTTGATCAGAGATCTATCTCTAGCTAGGCGAGTATATATGGGGTGGTGTCTAAAATACTGCGGCCTTTGGGCAATGATGATGACCATCATTTCTTTAGTTCAGGCTGAAGATCCCTACCGTTTTTTCGACTGGAGGGTCACTTACGGCAACATTTATCCACTTGGCATTCCTCAAAGGGTACATTTTCTTCTGAGATTCACAATATCAATGTGGCCTTCTTCTTCTTCTTTTTCTTTGTTTAATTAGTACACGTACCTACGCAGGGAATTCTTATAAATGGACAATTTCCTGGACCGGAGATTTACTCTGTCACCAATGATAATTTGATCATCAATGTTCACAACGATCTCGACGAGCCCTTTCTCTTGTCTTGGTATCTACTTTCCCCTTCTTCCGTTCAAATTCCCATTTTCATTTACACAACAAAGTTATAGTTATATTAGAAGAATAATTCGAGCGTTTGATAATTTGCATGCACATGTGCCGTTTATTCATATAAAAATCTTGTTATGACCAGCAGGGAATTATATATATTACTGATGACCACGTCAAGTTTTCATTCACGTTAATAATAAATAATACAACGAACTTAACAAATACATTTTATTAAAAAAAATGAAGGAACGGAGTACAGCTGAGGAAGAACTCATATCAAGATGGAGTGTATGGGACTACTTGTCCAATCCCACCGGGCAAGAACTATACTTATGCCATCCAAGTCAAAGACCAGATCGGTAGTTTCTTCTACTTCCCTTCCCTCGCCTTTCACAAAGCCGCCGGTGGTTTTGGTGGCCTCCGTATCCTCAGCCGCCCTCGCATCCCCGTCCCTTTCCCTGAACCCGCCGGAGATTTCACCTTCCTCATCGGCGATTGGTACTCTCACCATGACCACAAGGTACATTTCTTTCATAACTTTAGTTATCTAGTTTTATATATATATATATATACATTGTACTACTTGTCACATGAAATGATGCCCATAAATAATATCAAGTGCACACAATTCAGAATTTGAAGGCAATTTTGGATAGAGGTCACAGGCTACCCTTGCCTGATAAGGTTTTGATCAACGGCCATGGTGTCAACTTTTCTTCTTCTCTCACCGTTGACAAAGGTTCATCTTAATAAAATACATGCAAATTAATTTAAATATGACGAATTAATTAAGATCATTCTCGATCTCATCACTTTATTTGGACACATATTTGATCAGGTAAAACATACAGATTCAGAATATCGAATGTGGGGCTTCAACACTCGCTGAATTTCAAAATAGTCGACCATCAGATGAAGCTGGTTGAGGTCGAGGGAACCCACACGATCCAGTCCATGTATTCCTCACTCGACATTCACGTTGGCCAGTCTTACTCTGTCCTAGTCACCATGGACCAGCCTGAGAAAGACTATTCCATCGTCGTTTCCACTAGATTTGCTGCCAAGAAGCTCGTGGTCGGATCTACTCTCCACTATTCCAACTCCAGACAAAGCATCTCTTCTAATTCTCTCTCTGCTAGAGGGCCTGCCGATGAACTAGACTGGTCTATCAAACAAGCTCGGTCCATTAGGACCAACCTGACAGCGTCCGGGCCAAGGCCCAACCCTCAGGGCTCGTACCATTATGGCCTAATCAATATCTCTAGGACTTTGGTACTAGAGAGCTCAGCGGCCCTGGTGAAGAGGAAGCAACGCTATGCCATAAACGGCGTGTCGTTTGTGCATTCCGACACTCCGCTGAAGCTGGCGGATTACTTTAACATCAAGGGTGTTTTCAAAGTGGGAAGCATCCCTGACCAGCCGAGAAGAGGAGGGATAAGGCTGGACACGGCAGTGATGGGAGCAAACCACAGGGCTTTTATTGAGATTGTCTTTCAAAACCGGGAGAAGATCGTCCAGAGTTACCACCTTGATGGATACAGCTTCTGGGTTGTTGGGTGAGAACTATACCTAATGATCATACTATACTATATGACTATACATAGTTAATATTCATGTGAATGTTGTGGAATATAACCAAAGTGAGTTGTCCACAGAATGGATAGAGGAACATGGTCACATGCGAGCAGACGAGAGTATAACCTCATGGATGCGGTTTCTCGCTCAACTACTCAGGTACCTAAACACTTTGTAGATATAAATATCTCTACGTTTGAATCTCAAAACAAGTTGAACTTGAAATGTGTGTATGTGTTTAATTTTTCTAATTTCTTGTAGGTGTATCCAGAATCATGGACAGCCGTATATGTGGCATTGGATAATGTGGGGATGTGGAATCTAAGGAGTGAGTTCTGGGCGAGGCAATACTTAGGACAACAATTTTACCTACGAGTTTACTCTCCGGTTCACTCTCTCAGAGATGAATATCTTGTGCCCAATAATGCTCTGTTGTGTGGTCGAGCCTCCAACATGAAGAGACCCATCATCACTCCATAGATCACATTTACATTACATTATTCATACCAATCTATAATAGAGTTGATTAACCACTATCGTTTAGATATATATTCTGTTTGGAAATAAATGACAAGCTATTCATAATTCTTCACCAAATAGTTCATTTCTTTGTATTACAAACTAATCAAATCAAAATAATTATTAAATATTCGTTTTGGTTGTTTATAAATTGTACGCAATGTTATAATTTATATTTATGACAAATAAATAGGGAACAAAAAAAAACAACTAAATAAAATTGTGTTAACTATCATTATGTTTTCATTTACTAATATCAGTATTTACATGTTTTTATAAGTTATAAGTTATTTTCCTTTCTAGTATGAAAAATAAATAAAATATTGTATTAAATATCATTATATTATCATCTTAATTAGGTATGTGATTTCATGTATAAAAGTTTTGATCGGTTCATGTATGTTATGTTGAGCTGTATTTATTCTTTCACATTAAACAACCACTTCAATTAAGTTAAAATGGAATTATTATTTTCTTACTTTTATTTATTTAATTTCCTTCTCTAAGATTTGTAAATGTATTTATAATGTGATATATTTCACATTAAAAAAAAACTTTTAATTAAATTTAAATTATTATTTTCTTAATTTTTTTTTTCATCTCTAAGATTTGTCAATGTATTTATATAAGTTTTTATAATTTGATATATGTTGTTTTGAGAACAAAAAATATAAAGTCAGAGTTACATCAACAAATAATTTTAATATTTTTAAATTATGATATATGTAATTTTGGACAATTTATAAAAGAAGTGTTGAGGGATTGCAATTTGCATAAACAAACAAAATATAAAATATTTCCAAACCTTATCGATTAATTGTGATTTCATTACATAACTATATGGTATATATAAATTATAAACTATGATAAAATATATAATGAAGTAAATCAAAATATTAGTTCATTATCATTATTAATATTTTGTAAATATTTATATTTGTAGATGAGCATGGAAAAATCAGTTATATTAAAGATGTAAATGTAAAAAGTTGGGCTTCCTCTAAACATTGAAATGTCCGTTGGGCTTTTTGTGATTATGAAATATTGGGCCGACAAGAAAAACATAAAGTGTAGAAGTAAAATCATGTCGGAGACGCAGAAAGAAAGAAAAAGGAGAAGTGAGGGTTTAGAGATGGAGCAAAGTAGCGGGAGAGTCAATCCCAAGCCTAAGGTCATGGCGACGCCTTCGAGCCTTGTCGGGAGCATCGTCGAGAAAGCTATATCCGATATTAAGCCGCCGTCGCCGCCCAGACCCACCCGTCTTCCCTTCCCGGTGGCTCGCCATCGTTCTCACGGACCAGTAAGCCAACAACCCCATTATGGCCTTTTAGGTTTCATCCTATTTAAGTTGGCTCTTCTAGATTGATGATTTATGTAAAGCTTAAAAATTTGATTTTGATTTTGTAGCTTGTGGGGAGCAGAGTCCAAGCTAATGTTTCTATTGTGGAGGAGGATGATGCCAGTGACGAGGAAGAAGAAGAAGGTTTAATGAATGCAGACTCCATTTCTGTTTTTGCTAAACCGCTTCAAAGAAAGGAGAAAAAATGTATGGAACTCAGTAGATGGAAAGATATGCTCTCTGAGGACAATCATCCCACATCCACCCGGAAACCTAACATAAGGGCCTTGTCTGTTCCTCCACCTGAGGCTGCCACCGCTACTCCCATGGACGTGGATAACCGAAACACTCTACCGGCTGCTCAAACCCAAGATTTGTCTACAAACCAGGTAGAGATTGTTTCTGAGAAAGCAACGTCTTTAAGAAATCCGGGGAGTCAACATAAGACTTCTTCACTTGCTGCTGCTTCCCTTGGATCCAATGGAGTCGAAGTTAGACAGGCATTTTCATCTCTTGAGAGCGATATTGATGTTGAGAACCGTGCACGCTTGCAGACAATGTCACATGAAGAGATTGCAGAGGCTCAGGCTGACTTATTGGAGAAGGGGAATCCTGCATTACTAGCCATTTTGAAGAAACGAGGCCAGGACAAACTGAAGCGAAAGCATTCTGAGCCGGGGGTTTCCAATGCCAACGTTGAAACTAACAACTTAACTACCGAGGGTCATTTTGTCAGGTCTGATGTTCATTCACGACATGGACAGGCATCTGCCTCTCAAGTGACAGCAACACCAAAAGAAACAAGTGTGGTGCAAAATTCAGTGTTAATTCAAGACTTCTTGTGGGATTCATGGACTGAGAGGGTTGAGGCAGTCAGGGAGTTGAGATTTTCTTTTGACGGGAATGTCGTTGTTGATGATGTTGCTCCAACAGGTGGAACTGGTGTGTAGAACTATTCAACTGAAACTGATGACAAAATCTTAAGCTTCTTCTTACACTTTTGAATTTACAGGTGAAACCTGCTCTGGCGTTGGATTTTCCGAACGTGACTTCTTGAGAACTGAGGGGGACCCTGGAGCAGCAGGATACACCATCATAGAAGCCATTGCACTCACACGAAGTGTGGTATGGTTTATGCATATTTTACTTTCTTCCATTTTGACTTAAGCTGTTGAAAATCTTAAAACTGAGACTTCCATTTACCTCTATCATCGCTCACTGTTCCTGTATTGATTGATATGTCAGATTCCGGGGCAAAGATGTATTGCTTTACATCTGCTTGCATCTGTACTCGACAAAGCTTTGTACAAACTTTGTCAGAGGAGTATCGGCTACACAAGGGAACAAAAAGATAAATCCACTGATTGGGAAGCCATCTGGGCTTATGCCCTCGGGCCGGAACCTGACCTTGTGTTAGCCTTGAGGTAATATCTCGATGGTCATACTTATTTGTGAAGTTAAACTCTCATTGTCTCATGGAGGCTGAGAATCATATATAAAATACTGTTCGTTCTTATAAAATGTTTTTCTTTTTTCTTTTAAGGATGGCTCTTGATGACAACCATGCCTCTGTTGTTCTAGCATGTGTAAAAGTGATTCAGTCTCTTCTGAGCTGTTCGCTAAATGAGAACTTCTTTAATATTTTAGAGGTATAGTTGATTTTCCTCATTCCAAAGAAGTTATAGTCCTAGTAGAACTTGAAACTATATGTTCAAATCCATTTCTGTTTCCAGAACATGGGACCACACGGAAAGGACATTTTCACGGCCTCTGTCTTCAGGAGTAAGCCGCAGATTGATCTTGGCTTCCTCCGTGGTAGCTACTGGAAGTACAGCGCTAAACCTTCCAATGTTGTTTCATTCCGTGAAAGAACCGTGGATGACGAAGCAGAAGATACGGAAACTATCCAGAAAGATGTTTTTGTAGCTGGACAAGATGTTGCTGCTGGTCTCGTCAGAATGGATATCCTTCCAAGAATTTATCACCTTCTGGAGGTGAGATCAGTTTCTATATATTTGTACCTGTGTGTAACTCAGCAAGGAAAATCATGCTTGTTGTGCTGCTAACCGGTGGCTTAGGTTTCTGATGTATTTTCTTATCAATGATTTCAGACAGAACCAACAGCAGCGCTCGAAGACAGCATAATTTCTGTTACTATTGCCATTGCAAGACATTCTCCAAAATGCACAACTGCAATCTTGAAGTATCCGAAATTTGTGCAAACAATTGTGAAAAGATTCAAGCTGAAGAAAACAATGGACGTTCTTCCTTCTCAGATCAATTCTGTTCGCCTCTTAAAGGTAATACCGTCCGCGCTTACAAAATTATCTTGGGGTTGTTATGTTCGATTCCCCGCAGTGCTATTTTCAGAAGAAAAAAAAACTAATGATACAAGTTTGTGAAGCTACTAAATCCTCAGAGCTATTATAACCTTCGGTTTCTTTTCCCTCTTTGTAATTTCACTAAGGTGTTGGCCCGTTATGACAAAAGTACATGCATGGAGTTTGTGAAGAATGGGACATTCAATGCGGTCACTTGGCATTTGTTTCAGTTTACTTCCTCTCTTGATTCATGGGTGAAGTTAGGGAAGCAGAACTGCAAGCTTACATCCGATTTGATGGTTGAACAACTCCGGTTTTGGAAGGTCTGTCTTCAAAGTGGCTGTCTCATATCTCAATACCCAAATCTATTCCCAGCTCTGTGCCTGTGGTTGAGTTGCCCATCATTTGAAAAGCTCAAGGAGAAAAATCTCGTCTGCGAGTTTACTGCTGTGTCAAAGGAGGCTTACCTGGTCCTTGAGGCTTTTGCCGAGACACTTCCTAGCATGTACTCACAAAATATTCCACGGAATGAATCTGGGGGTTGGGACTGGAGATATGTTAGCCCTATGATTGATACAGCACTGAGCTGGATAATGATGGCCCCCGAATTACTCGAGTGGGAGACAGGAATTGAAAGTGTCTCTGTGTCAACTACTTCTCTGTTGTGGTTGTATTCGAGTGTTATTCGTGCGTTTTCCAAAGTTCTTGAGAAAATATCTTCCCAGGCAGAGGAAGAACCTCTGCCATGGCTGCCGGAGTTTGTTCCAAAGATTGGCCTCACCATCATCAAGCACAAACTTCTGAGTTTTTCCGTTGCAGACGTAAGTAAGTGTGGAAATGACCCTTCAAGGTGTTCCTCTTTTATGGAATATTTGTGTTTTCTTAGAAAACATTCCCAAGACGAAGAACTAGCGTTAAGTGCTGTGAGTTGCCTTCACGGGTTGACACGGACCATCGTGTCCATCCAAACTCTGATAGAATCTGCTAGATCAAAGATGGAAACTCCTCCTCAGGGAAGCGTGTCCATTAGAGATGATTCTGTGCTTGCAAAAGGAATACTGACAGAGTCTCTCGGTGACCTAACATTTGTGTGGAGCTCTTTTAGAGATTCTGTTGTATCAGAATGGCCCATCATGCAATCCATTGAGCTACACAAGCGAGGTGGACTAGCTCCAGGGTTGGGACTTGGTTGGGGAGCTAGCGGTGGTGGGTTTTGGTCAACCAAAATTCTGTTGGCACAAGCTGATGCCGGTCTTGTGAGTCTCTTTCTTAACATATCTCAAATAGACTCGCAGAATGATCAGGGATCGGTTTCCTTGATGGAGAAAATGAACACCGCTCTAGCTGTGTGCTTGATTGCGGGTCCAAGGGATCATTTTCTTGTGGAAAAAGCCTTCGACTATGTCCTTGGACCGCGTGCTTTAGAACACATGGCCTTCAGTATCAAGTCAAACAAGAGAGCCATAACGTATGACGGGAGATTTAGTGAAGGTGATTATGATCGTATGAGCAATGTGCTCATTTCTCACTTCAAACTTCGATGGTTACACCCAAAGAGAAAATCTGAATCCGAGAATGGCGCAAGTGGAATAAGGGAAGCCGCAGTTGGTCTGGAGACTATTCATGAGGAAGGTGAAATTCCAAACTGTTCAACAGAGGACAAAAAATCAGATTCGTTGATCAGTGAATGGGCTCATCAGAAATTGCCCTTGCCTCCACACTGGTTTCTCAGCTCCATATCAGCAGTCCACGGTGGTAAAACCTCAACAGGGATACCAGAATCCACAGAGTTCCTTGAAACCGCAAAAGCCGGAGTTTTCTTTATTGCAGGACTTGAGTCATTGTCTGGGTTGGGATCGCCTCCATCTCCTATTTCGAGTGTGCCTTTGGTTTGGAAGTTTCACGCTTTGTCCACTGTGTTGCTTGTTGGAATGGAGATCATCGAAGACAAGAACACTAGGAACTTGTACAGTTTTCTCCAGGAGCACTATGGGCAGGTTCTTGATGAAACGAGACAAGGTCGCGGTGGAAGTGAGCTCCTGAAGTTCAAGTCTGACATTTTCGAGAGTTACTATACATTTCTGGAGATGCTGGTGGAGCAATATGCTGGAGTGTCTTATGGGGACGTGTTGTATGGCCGGCAGATGTCGATTTACTTGCATCAATGCGTGGAACCATCTGTTCGGCTTTCGGCGTGGACTGCGCTCTCCAATACAAGTGTTCTTGAGCTACTGCCGAGTCTAGACAGATGCGTGGGAGAAGCAGAAGGTTACCTAGAACCAGCTGAGGTAATTTGTACAAAAAAAACAAACAATAAAAAGACCACGAGTAAATAGTGTGATTAATTGGTTTATTATTTGATTGACAGGAAAACGAGGGAGTCCTTGAGGCCTACCTAAAGTCATGGACTTGTGGAGCTCTGGACAGAGCTGCAACGCGGGGATCAGTAGCCTATACACTTGTCCTACATCACTTTTCATCTTTATTGTTCAGCAAGGGTAAAGAAGAAGTATCCCTACGGAATAAGATTGTTAAGACTCTTGTGAGAGATTTATCAAGAAAGCAGCAGCGCAAGGTAACTTGAAATCCGTCAACTCTTTCCGGTTTATATTAACGTGTTAGGGGAATGATAATAGCTGAAACGTGAATGCAATGGGTTTCAGGGGATGATGGTGGATCTCGTGCGGTATAGTAGACGGTGTGCGAATGCGATGGAAGAAGAGGAAACAGCAACGCAGCAGAGGAGTGAGAGAGAGAGGAGAATGGAGGTGTTGAAGGAGGCCTGCGAAGGGAACTCCTCACTCCTCTCGGAACTTGAGAAGCTCAACCTTGTGTGTAACTAAAGACGGTGAAAGGAAGTGTGTAACATTTCTAGAACTTGAGAAGGTCAACCTTGTGTGTTGCTGTTTAGATTATGTCTGCGTCTTTTATTTATAGAATCTCTATATGATCCCTGATGACAAGAAACATATGGCGCGAGAGAAAGTAATTTTAAGTTGAAGGTGATTAAGAAAACGTGTAGGCTTACATCTATAGATTGGAGAATCAGGACAGATACAACTTTCTTAGCTTTGTGTTTAGAAACACTAAATACAATATACTGAGTTGATCAAACTTCAGTATTTTTTTTTCCAATAAAACAATATATATAGCATATTATACACAATTTATAGAATATATTTACAAATCTAAAAAAAAACTGAAATATATGTAACTAACAAATTTAAACATAGATTTTAATCTATTTGAAAAGAATTTATTATAGTCCAATCCAAAAGATTGATGCAGTCTAATTATGGTTCAATACACATAAATAATTTATTATAGCCATATCCGCCACAATATCACTTTCCTCCTCGCAAGGATAGACACTTGGAGTTTTGAACACGTTCTCCCTGAACGTAATGAAGCGGCAACGGCAATCGCTTTGAGTGTCACTCGTGATCAGCGTCAACAATCCTACATCGCCAGATATGTTCCGGTGTGGCTTCATCATCTTCTCGCTTTGAAGGCTCATCCATAAGGGGTTTGTTTTGGTGAGCTCCTATCATCTCTTTTTAAGATGTCTAATGACATCCCTTTATTTTTTCTCTTCTATACCGGTTCTTTCCTATGTTGTATTATCCGAACTACCAGTATTATAAAAGAAAAAATAATATTTAAAACAATAAACAAATTTTTGGTACAAATAAAAAAATGATTTGAAACTTATAAACAGATGAAAGCAATTATTAAATAACTATTAAACAAACAAGACACTTGAACGAGATTGATAATAACCGGCCCGGTTAGGAATTGCAAAATAAGGAAACCAAAGGCTAAAGTCTGGTAATAAAAAGATTCCCAGATCCATAATGAGGCGTTGATGAATCATCATCGATTGGATTAGGAGGAAGCTCTAAGAGAGTGAGATCTGGGCGGGCTTCTTCTATGAGTGATTTTCAGAGATCACTTTCGGTGCGGTTGAGCCGCCGGGGAGAAAGGAGTAATCAATCTTATAAAGGTCTGCTTCCTTTTTTCTTTTTTTGTTGTTGGAATGAATATATATATACAGCAAGGGAGAAGAGGAAGCTAATGAACTGTTTTGTGTTGTAACAGATGAGGCTGATGCCTTCTTCTCTACCAATAGACTCCATACAGATTACGGAATAAAAACAATATGGAAGGCAGGATTCATACGACTGTTACTAGTAGGAGGCATTCTGTGGATGCTTCTCATTCTTCTTGCCCTCCTCTTTCATGTTTGGTCTTGTCAATCCTCCCTTTCCTTCTTCTCTGGTATGCTCTTCTCTCCATCCCACTTGTGTTTTTTTTTTTAAATGTTCAGTAGTAGTATTGATGTTCTTCACACTTGCCAGCCATTTGCAACAAAGAAGGCAGACTCTATGTCGTTTTAGACACCATTGGCTTTGTACCTAAACCACAACACCGTAAGTCACTTTCTTTCTTTTTAACACTTCTACTGCTTTTCTTTTCATAGACCGTAACGTAACACTCTCTTTCTCTTTATAATAGGATGCCCAATTCCGGTAGCGTATGACCCTGATAAGGTGCTCATTCCCACTTCAATAACCCCTGATACTATAGTCACCAATCTTACCTACATTACAGAGGATGAATCCTCCAACTCTCAGTTTCCTCTCTTTGGCGGCAACATTACCTGGTCTCAACGTCAAGAAAGTTTTAATCTCAAACCCGACATGAAGGTAAAACCGCTAGTTTTATTCTCTTGCACCATTCTACTTCCCACTATTAACTTCCAAACTATCTTTATTATTATTCCATAGGTCCATTGCGGGTTCATGCCAGGTGGTGGCGCTGAAATGTCATCTCTGGACAAACAATACGTACAGAAATGTAAATTCGTGGTTGCCACTGGGATTTTCGATGCATATGATCAACCCCACCAGCCTTCCAACATTAGCGAACGCTCCAAGAACCTCTTTTGTTTCCTTATGGTTGTTGACGAGGTCTCTCTCGATTTCTTAAGATCAAACACCACTGTGAAGAAAGATGTTCAAGGAGGAGGCGAATGGGTTGGCATTTGGCGTCTGATTTTACTGAAAACTCCTCCTTATGATGAACCTAGGAGGAATGGTAAAGTCCCCAAAATCTTAACTCACAGGCTATTCCCTCAAGCACGCTACAGCATTTGGATTGATGCCAAAATGGAGCTTATCGTTGATCCCTTGCTTATGTTAGAAAGGTATATATAAGACTAGGATGGGTTAATATCCACTATCATCTGTCTCTGCTTTTACAAGACTATGGTGTTTCAGGTATTTGTGGCGTGGGAAGCATACCTTTGCCATTGCTCAACACAAACATCACCGAAACATATATGAGGAAGCTGATGCATGCAAAAGGAGAAAGCGATATGCCCGTCCTTTGGTTGATCTTCAGATGAAAATATATCGGTACGAGGGTTTAGAACCATGGAGCATCAAGAAGAGCACTGTTAGTGGTAAATAACATTAAACCAAAAACATCAATGCTTCTTTGTTAATTAAGAATACTAAGACTCTTTTTACACAGATGTTCCAGAGGGAGCGGTGATAATAAGAGAACACACTGCAATGAACAATCTGTTCAGCTGCCTGTGGTTCAACGAGGTACACCTGTTAACACCGAGGGACCAGCTAAGCTTTGGGTACGTAGTGGACAGACTAAAAGGAGCCTTCAAGGTATTCATGTTCCAGAACTGTGAGTACAACTCTCTCTTTGAATTGCATCCTCACATCAGAGAACATTCCTCAAAGATAGAGTGGGTGAAGAGTCTTAAGGAACTGAAAGGGAAAGGAGAGAGTTTGAAGGAAAGCAGAGGAGGCTTTGGGCTATGGACTCCATACCCTGGGGATCTGGATTCCGTTGAGCTGCCAAAGGTAGTAAGAACTTCTAAAGCTGGTTGAGGCATTGTGCTTTTGTTTGACTGTGTTTCTCTGGTGGGGGTTAAATTCCAAGTTTTACAACCTTTGTTAAACATGCACTTGTTTATTTTTTCTTAAACATTTTTGTAGAGATTGAATATTCAATAGTGTAAAAGAAAGAAAACATGATCAGCATAGCTAAGTCTAACTGAATGCGTCCAATTGTTTTCCTATTTTTTTGTATAGAACAACAAGAACACGAATTATGAAAACAATTGTGATTTTTTTTAGAGTAACAAAACTACCACTTGGTCCCTTTTCCCCAATCAATAATAATAATAATGATAATTAAATATATATATAGATATTAGTTTACACAGCACATCTTGTTTGGAAATAATAGAGGGTCAGGAGGCGCCAGGAGCCAGGCTGTTGTGAGGAAGGTTCACTCCCGCGCCTCTCACTGAAACTGCCGGTCCTCTAGCTCTGCTCACTACAAGGCTTGCGTCGAAGAAGACAACTATGACTGTAATGTCATCGTGGAAATGCCTTCTAACACCTCTGTCAATCTTTTTAAGGTCTGAGTACCTCATCTCTCTCTTCTTTGCCGCTTCTTTAAGCGCCACTTTCACCAGCCTCTTTGCTATCCCCTGCCCAACCAACAACAACAACTGTTACTACCTCACAACATCAATAATATGTCTCTATATATGAGTGTTCTCTCACGTTACGGGGATGATTGTGGACAATCTCAACAGCTTCTTGGTTGCTCATATGTTCCCATAATCCATCGGAGGCACATATTATAAACTGGTCATGGGGCTGTAGTGTATGCACCGTTATTGCCGGCTCTGCACTCAGTAACGGTCTGCTAAAGGGTGCCCTGAGTCTGAATTTCGCATACAATGGTTCCCTGTTGAACTCGGACCGTTTCAGATACACATCCCCAATGGATCTTGATACCTATAATGGATTAACAAACACTATCTCATCTCAGACAAGTTCAAAATAATACATTAAAAGGCAGGTTGGTTATAAAACTCACCTGAATGATTCCTTTGACTCTCCAAACGTTATGTTTGAGAACCACGATATCTGAATGATCCGGATGGAGGCCCTGTAGTTCCTGTCGCACAGACTCAAAAGAGGCATTGTGCTCTTCAGAGAGCTGAGTGGCGAGAACATCCCCACCCTTCATGACTTGTCCGAGCACGGCACGCGAGTCACCAGCATTGGCAACGTAGAGCGTCCCATCGCAGACGACGCAGACAAGGCAGCAAGAGCCAACGGTGGCTATTTGAGGCCTTGTTTGGAATTGACTGCTAACTAAAGACAAGAAACCTTCTTCAGTCGCTTGGAAAGCTTTCTTTATCACTTCCGAAGACATACACTCTTGCTCCGCAGCAAATCCTGTGGTGGAAGGAAAGGAAGGGACATTAACAACACATTAATGAGATCCAAAAACAAAAACAAAACAAAGCAGTAAAACTCACTCTTGAGATGGTGGAAGAGATGGTCGTTGATGAAGCGGGAAGTCTCAGGGCCGCCGTGACCATCGTAGACGCCAACAAAGGTGCCGTAAGGAGGAGCAGAGGAGAGGGTGGAAAGAGAGCCAGACTCGAGCTGGCACTGGTCCTCGAGCAAGCTGTTGGCTTGAACAACGGACATAGAGAAGTCACCAAAGACGTGGTGGCCGGAGTCACGGTACCATAAGAGACCATCTTGATGGCCGCGAGAATCAGAGGAGGAAGGACCCTCGTGGTGGTGAGGCCAGAGACAGGCATTGAGAAAGTTCATCAAGGCAGAGAGCATCCCTCATCTCATCACCAACATAACAAGTTTCAACTACTAGCAACTTGTACAGTACAGTATATGAGATAAGATCCCCCAAAGCTGGTTTTGGGTGGTCAAAGGCAATCGAGAAACAAAGTCAGAGAAAAGGGAACTGCTTTCATTCGAAAAATATGGAAACTTTACCTTTGCTTAAGATTGGGAATCTAGTCGAAGAGATGTGGGCGTGGAATTTGCTCTCTAGTTGCTTGCAGATCTACGGATCCCCTCCACACTACTACTAATAATTATTACCTTCCTTTTTTATTTTATTTTTAAATTAGAAATAATCGATGCTGAGGAGGAGGAGGAAGAAGAAGAAGGAAGACTAATTAATAGTAAATTAACATTAAAAAAAAAAAAAAGAGATGGACTTTCTGGTTGGCAAAGATGAGAACTTTCAATATGTATAAAAACAGTGAGCGATGAAGGAGATAAGATAGATTTGGTCAAGTCGCCCAACGATACGTCTCTCTCATTATTCCATTCTCTCTTCTATTTTCCAACAACGGTAAAAAAATTATTTTTCTTTTTTTTATTAATCTTCTACTCTCTCTCAGTAAATCTCTCTAGCAGACAAGACCCATAAAAGACCAACGAACGATTGCAAGGTCGGAGCCAGCACATGAAAGGTCCCCCCCCCCTCCCCCCAAGCTTTTTGGGCTCCACATCTCTCGTCCTTTTGCCACTTTTATTACATTCATAGAGAGAACCCATGGCCAACCCCCCCCTCCCCCCCCCATAACATTAACAGAGAGACCAAGTACGACTTTTTCGACACTAGTATTATTTATTCATTCTCTACTTGATTTTCAAAGTTTTAGACATTGTCACATACTTCTTCTTCTTAAACATTAATAATAAGATATGGCAAGACAAATCAAAACAAGAGAAGAATGATCGGCCGGGCCTTTAGACACATCATGGTCTTGTGGAGGGGTTGTTTATTACACGTCCTTTTACAGCTCTATCCTATGAATGGCTAATGGAGTCTCTTGTTGATTTTATCGTTTCCACTTCCACCGACCCTTTGGCTCTACTCACTAAACTATACTCTCTTCTAACCATTTGGCTCCTGCATTACAAATAATGTAGAGATCAGGTCTTGGGCTTTAAGAATAAAATAGAAAAATTAAGTCGGTTTTTTCTTTATATATAAGAAAATGGATTGGGACAGGAAAGGGATTGGGATAAAGTGAGATATGTCACTTTACCTAACATTATTTAATTTTTGTTTATTAATTTATATTTTGCCTCCCCATGGACTCTTTCTACTTATTTATACTTTTGTAGTGCCAATAATAGAAGCAAAACAAGCAACTATTATATACTTCAGCAAACAAATAAAAAGAAAAGTATAAGCAAACAAAACCCATTTGAATGAAACTGAAATTTTTGTTCCTAAATTATGAATAATTCTATGATAACTATGTGACACTTATTCGTATATGGTTCCGTGTGAACTAACTAAGAGAGGTAGATGATAAATGGAGGCCCAAGACCATGGTGGAGCTAGACTAGCTGCATTGCAAATCTCAGAATCTATAAGTGGGATAAAGAAGCTATTTCTTAGCCAACAAATGAATGGTGCGAGAGTACAAGTACGTATACGTACTTGCTTTTGATATAATGCATGAGAAATGCTCAACTTAATCTCAAAGATAAATCAAACGATGAACATCGTGTATCACAAGCAGAATAGGAACACACATTTGAAAACAAATCAAATGATTTGTGTTTAGAATATATTGGATGCTCTCCTGGTAGTGCTCTCTTTTATTCGCACCTCAAAAAAGCTAGCCTGGCAGTATATATGCCCATCTAAATAAGACGACGTAATTACGAGAGGCTTATTCATCGGACCCATGCATAAATAAATATACAATAAGGTTATCATAACCACGAATAACATTACTTTTAAAAATGATAGTAGTAAAGTAGTAATTAATTAATGCAAATAGCGAGACACGTTCCTTAATGGAATGAGCATATATTCTTTTTTATCACTTTTAAATTAATGCCTATCATTTTCATATATATCTCTATATATGTGTGGTGTGTATGTTGCTGAACAGAAGGCACAAGTAAGAAGAACAAGGAGAAGATATAATAAAAAAAATGTCGGAGACTTTCAAAGTGTGCTTCTGTTGTAGCAGGAGCTTCAAGGAGAAAACGAGGCAGCCACCAGTGAGCATCAAGAGACTCTTCGAAGCCTACTCAAGAAACGGCAAGATGTCTTCGGATGACCTTCTAAGGTTTGTGAGTGAAGTCCAAGGTGAAGGGCACTTAGGGATGGACTACGTGCAGGATATCTTCAACAGCGTTAAACACCACAACGTTTTTCATATACATGGCTTTGTTCATCTCAACGCCTTCTACCGCTACCTCTTTAGCGATACAAACTCTCCTCTTCCCTTGACTCGCAAGGTGCATCATGATATGAAGGCCCCGTTGTCGCATTACTTTGTGTACACGGGACACAACTCTTACTTGACAGGGAACCAAGTGAACAGCAGAAGCAGCGTTGAGCCGATCGTGCAGTCTCTGAGAAAAGGTGTAAAAGTTATCGAGCTTGATTTATGGCCTAACCCTTCTGGTAACGCTGCTGAAGTTCGTCATGGCGGGTTCGTATTAATTATATGCTATTCAAATTTTGAAAATAAAATAAAAAAGAGTTTCTATCTTAAATGATTTATATATGTATGTTTTGGTGGTCATCAGGACGCTTACAACGCATGAGGATTTGCAGAAATGTCTAAACGCCATAAAGGACAATGCGTTTCATGTGTCTGATTATCCAGTCATAGTCACTCTTGAAGATCATTTGCCACCAAATCTTCAAGGGAAAGTTGCAAAGGTGACTTGAGAGAGTATCTTCTTTCTTCTTTTTTTTCAGAACAGAGGAGCTTTACAAGTTTTAACTGATTTTTTTGTTTGGTATGTGTGTGTAGATGTTAACAAGAACATTCAGAGGGATGCTGTATCGTTCAGGGTCAGAGAGTTGTAAGCATTTTCCATCACCAGAAGAACTTAAGAAGAAGATTCTTATTTCTACAAAGCCTCCAAAGGAGTATCTTGAGAGCCAAGCTACTCAGTCCTCACGAAGAACTCCAATTGATATAGCGACTTCCTTGAGCGGACCATCAAGAAGCGTAAGAACTGATATATGACACAGCAAGATTTTGCCAACATTTCTTAGCGTTAGTTTCTTTGTTGTCACAGGGCATTACTAGTAGTATGTCATGGAGAGGAGAATACAAGATTCCTGAAGATTATGTTTCAGAAGAAGAAGAGGAGTGTGAAGCTTTTGGATATAGAGACTTGATAGCGATTCACGCTGGGAACTGCAAAAGCGGTTTGGAAGATTGCTTGAGAGAAGATCCAGAGAAGCCTCGAAGGATAAGCATGAACGAGCAGTGGCTAGAGAATTTGGTTAGAACCAGAGGAACCGATGTTGTAAGGTACATAAAAAAATAAAAAAATATTATAGAGTGAGATGTGATGAACAAAACTATTGAAAGCTTTAAAGAACAGGTTTACACAGAGGAATCTAGTGAGGATATATCCAAAGGGAACAAGAGTGGACTCATCAAATTACGATCCACATGTTGGATGGACACACGGTGCTCAAATGGTTGCTTTTAACATGCAAGTAAGTACCTAGCTCATCATTGATAATACTTGTTTTATATAATATATTAAAAATGGGGTTTAAAAAAAGGGACATGGGAAGCAACTATGGATAATGCAAGGAATGTTCAGAGCTAATGGTGGATGTGGCTACGTTAAAAAGCCACGCATTTTGCTAGACACGCATAGACTCTTTGACCCATGCAAAAGCCTTCCCATAAAGACTACTCTCAAGGTGAAGATCTTCACAGGTGAAGGATGGGATTTGGATTTCCCTCAGACACATTTCGACCAGTACTCTCCTCCTGATTTCTTCGTCAAGATTGGAATCGCAGGAGTTCCAAGGGACACCGTCTCTTACAGAACAGAAACAGCGGTTGATCAGTGGTTTCCTATATGGAGGCAAGAGTTCTTGTTTCAGCTCTCTGTACCAGAACTTGCACTTGTGTGGTTCAGAGTCCAAGATTACGACAATGACACCCAAAATGATTTCGCAGGACAGACATGTCTTCCTCTGACCGAACTCAAGACCGGAGTTAGAGCCGTCAGGCTTCATGATAAGGCTGGAAAGCCTTACAAGAACTCTAGACTTCTTGTCAGCTTCTTCTTTGACCCTCCTTACATGTCATAAACTGTTTTTTTTTCTTTCTTAAATCAATTTCTTTAAATAAGCAGCTTACTTGCATTAATGTAATTATTTTGTCTCTGTAATGGTTTCCTCTTTCACTATGTATTAAGCTATTCTTCATAATAATAATTTAATAAGTATAAAGATTCGATTTCAATAACTGTAGCCGCCTTCCTAGAAATGGGTGCCTTTGTTTGACTTGTCATCTTCCTCAACATTTTTGTATTTAAATATAAACAACAGAAGAGCTTTCTAAGATCATCATCAATCAACGAACCATGGAAGAACAAGGCACCCTAGATATTGTCATCGTTGGCGCCGGAATCTCCGGCCTTTCAACCGCCGTTGGACTCCATAGGTTTGTGTTTTGTGAAAGTAGCTTTAGCTTCTTTTGAGTTAGTTAGAAGCAAGAGTAGAGTTAACCAAAGTGGTGTGATAGGCTTGGGATTAGAAGCATGGTGCTGGAATCTTCAGATAAGCTGAGAGCCACAGGATTCGCATTTACGACTTGGTACAACGCCTGGAAGGCTATGGAAGCTCTTGGCGTTTCTCAGCATGTTCGAGACCTTCATGATCTTCTTCAAGGGTATCATCATCAGGCTAACACTTATGTTACTATTCATATTAACTCTGTAACTTGAGAACTCTATCTTTGATCTTCTAAATGCATGCAGATGGGTGGTGGGACACATCTCCCCAGGAAATCCTTCCAAGGAAATGCTCTTTCCAAAATCTGAGTATGTTTCTTCCTTCTTCTTCTTCTTCTCTTTACAAAATATATGAATCCAAAACATAAAAAGAAGAAGACAAGTTTCAAACCTGTTTACTTGTTTTGTTAGAGAATACGAGTCTCGGTGCGTAAAGAGGAAGGTGCTGTTAGAGGCTCTAGCGAATGAGTTGCCTGAAGGGACCATAAGGTTTTCTTCAAAGGTTGTTCACATCGAATTGTCTGGATACTACAAGATGGTTCATCTCTCTGATGGAACTATTCTCAAAACCAAGGTAGTAACTTACTACTTGTCCTCTCTAAATAATCTTCTGGATGGTTTTGTTGTTTGTGGAAATGAGGAGTTTCTGAACCACATTCTTCAGGTTTTGGTAGGGTGTGATGGAGTGAAATCAGTGGTTGGTAAGTGGCTAGGGTTCAAGAATCCGGTTAAAACTTCCCGCTTAGCAATCCGAGGGCTCACACATTACCCACAAGGCCATGGGTTTGGGAAAAAGTTCTTCCAGTTTTATGGCGACGGTGTTCGTTCCGGTTTTATCCCCTGTGATCACAACACTGTCTACTGGTTCCTAACCCATACATCTACTGAATTAGGTAAACGGAACTCTTACTTGATATCCACCTCTACTGTCACTGACTCATTTCCTTGCGCTTGGTTATAGATGAGAAAACAGATCCAGAAAATATCAAAGAATTTGTGCTGAACAAGCTCAAAGACTTGCCTGAAAACATTACGAATGTCGTGGAGACCACCGATCTTGATAGCATTGTGATGTCTCGGCTCAAGTACCGACCCCCATGGGAACTCTTATGGGCAAACATCGCAAAGGACAACGTATGCGTTGCAGGGGATGCACTTCACCCGATGACACCTGATATCGGACAAGGCGGTTGCTCAGCCATGGAGGATGGAGTTATCCTGGCTCGCTGTCTCGGTGAAGCTATAAAAGCGAAAGGTGAATCAGATGATGAAGCAGAGAGTTATAAGCGGATTGAACAAGGGTTGAAGAAGTATGCAGGAGAAAGGAAATGGAGAAGCATAGATCTGATAACAACGGCGTATACAGTAGGTTTCATACAGCAGAGCACAGGGAAGTGGATGAACCTGTTAAGAGACAAGTTCTTGTCCTCTTTCCTTTCTCGGTTGCTGCTGAAAAAGTCTCACTTCGACTGCGGAAGCCTTGTCTCATGATTCTCGATGAGTAAGCAGGATGCTGGAGCTTAGTCCAAAAAGTGGATGTTTCATCTCATAGACTATAAACTGCACACCAGTTTTCACCTCATTGCTTCAAGAGTAAAGATAACTGTGTGTTTTGTTCTTTTATCAATTTCCATATAGAATACTCTTCAATAACTAATAAAGTCATCAAAAGGCAAAAGGTTGTGTAATAAATAGAGAAAACCAACGAAAAAGACAAGTTGGTGTATGTTTTAAAGGATATCTCATTACAAATATAGAAAAGTAACAACGATTCTTCAGTGAACCATAACGTAAAAGGGTTTTACAAGGAAAATAGAAGCTCAGTTGAAAGAGTAAGACCTAACAATGTTGGTAACGGATTCGGAGAAAGTTCTGGAAGTGATCTTTTTGCCAGGAACGTGGAAAGGGTTTGAGACGGCATCCACGTATGCGGCATGGAACTTCCTGAAGAACTGTGGAGACAAGAGAAGATTATAATAAGGAGAAAACAAAAGAAATGAAAAAATCACGAAAGGCAAAGCAGAGAGAAAAACTTTACACTTCTAACATCAGTGTCTCTGACATCCAAATCAGTAGTGACCATAATGAACTTCACTTTTGTATTAGTCAAGTAACCATACCTACAATTAGATGACAAGAGAGTTAGTTTTGGGCAAATGATATTAAGGATGTTAGAGTGAATAATAATGAACTTACACTTTGTAGTTGAGTGCAGGGTAAAGCAGACCAAGAAAAGCCTCGTTCAATGTGGTTCCTGTCTTGCTCGGATTGTTCACTGTTTAAGAAAAATAATCAAAATTTTATTTTTCTGAAATTCAATAACAACAACAAACAAGTGATTTCAGATAGGGAGAAGAAGAAAAAGAACCTCGCTCATCGATGACGTCTAGAGAGCAATGGACGATGTGGTGGAGCTTAAGCGCATCGTCTGCTTCCGTGAAGCTCTGAATGTAAAGCGGATTGTTCTGTTCCGATCCAATTAAAAACAAAATGGACGCATAGTGAGTAAGGATCGATCCGAGTGGATCGGATCAGATCTGAATCAATATCAAACTAAAATCAAATGAGAGAAAAACCTGGTGGCCGACGACGGCGACGCAGACGATCATCTTTCTCCGACAACTATGTAAAACAAAACAATCAAATGTCGGAGAATCCCGACGCGGTCTGTGCAGAGTTATTCAATCTCGCCTGAGCTCTGTTGGGCTTGGTTTTACTAAATTATCCTATGTTTGGGCCTTTTTAAAATTAGCCCACTAGTACTCATTGACCATCCAAGAGTGATTGAAATCGTGGGTTTAATAAGGATCCATTAGAGGCCTAAGAATAGAGTGGGACCAAGTAGACAAAAGACTGGTCAAGGTCGGTTACGTTGTCGGTGTGACTTGGAAGTCATCGGTTAATCCAAAAGAAAACAATAACTCTGTTTCCCATAACGTTCAGACTCTGATGAAACTGGTAGGGACCAGGAGAGAAAGGTCATCCATCATCCTTCATTTCACCTTTTTTCTTTGTATATTAACTTTTAATTGAATATTTACTAATTATTGCCTTTATATTCATTCCTCTTCCCACCTCTTTTCACTTGCTTACTCACCACTTTCCCTTTGCTTCTGTGATATCATTCTGCTGTGTGCAACTCATTTAGACTCTCTCTCCCTTAAAATTCTTCTTCTTCTAGGTTCTTCCTTTGATATCTCTCAGGTTTTTCTACCTTTTGAAAAGAGAATAAAATGGGTGTTCTGGATCATGTCTCTGAAATGTTTGATTGCTCTCATGGTCACAAAATTAAAAAGCGCAGACAGTTGCAGGTAACTAGCTAACCCCTACCTCTTTTCTTCTTTTGAGTCACGAGATGTGACTATTACTTTTTTTGTAGATCTCCTTCTTGATTAGTTCTACCAATCTTCACTATGCTTTCCATTATTATTGGTTATTATTACTATTGTAAATTCTCTAGAACTCTCAAGAGAGTAGGTTATATTTTTGTTTGTTTGTGAGTTAATTGTTTATAACGCCGACCAAATAGATTCGTTTTCTTAATCTGGAAAACAAGTTGCAGCCATCTGTTAGATTTTACACCGGGATTAGTTGTACTTTTATTATATCATTATTCGCTGTCGGAATGAATCTCTGATTATTTTTCTTTTTATTTCTCTTTAAATTACAAATAATAGCAGAAACCACACATTAACTACTACTCACTAGTCATGATTACAGTGCTTAGATATTTATTTGGTTTGTGTCGTGTAGCTCACATTACATCCTAAATGAACTAATTGTTTATTAATGAATGAATGATGAGGGTAGACGGTGGAGATCAAAGTGAAGATGGACTGCGAAGGCTGCGAGCGTAAAGTGCGGCGGTCCGTGGAAGGAATGAAGGGAGTCTCGTCTGTGACGCTCGAGCCCAAAGCCCACAAAGTCACTGTGGTCGGCTACGTCGATCCCAACAAGGTTGTTGCCCGTATGGCTCACAGAACCGGCAAGAAGGTCGAGCTCTGGCCCTATGTGCCTTACGACGTTGTGGCTCATCCTTACGCTGCTGGAGTCTACGACAAGAAGGCACCCTCCGGTTATGTGCGAAGAGCCGATGACCCTGGAGTCTCGCAGCTGGCTCGTGCTAGCTCCACCGAGGTCCGCTACACTACTGCTTTTAGCGATGAGAATCCAGCGGCTTGTGTGCTCATGTGATTTGATTTATGGACCGTTTCTGTTTGTTATTGATTATTGGTATTGTTGTGTTTGTATATCAATGTACCATATGGTAGGTTTTTTGGTCTGGTTTGCTACTCAAACACACTTATTATGATTGTAATATTTCTCCTTCGTTTTTTATTTGCTCCAATCATTGATTCTTTTCAGCAAAAAAAGAAATGTGTTTAAGTTTTTTGCATATCAACTTGTCAGCAAAAATGTTAAAAATAGATAATACAAAAGCGGAACAACTGGATAGCGAATCCCATCTTATTAAGCCTGTTGGTTACAAAATTCCAGCCATGCTGAAAAGGTGATTTAAATGGTTTTTGATTTGTAGATAGTATATATTCCAAGTTGAAGGAATATTATTCTGTCATAAAACCAAATGCATTTAGTACCCAGAAGATGAGAAGAGACTACAGAGTTAAAAGGCAATCTACGTTTCAAAAGAGGAGACAATTGAAGTTGAGCAGTAATCATTGTGGCTACAACAGGTTGTGCTCCAAGTTTTATTAACTCACATTAATTATCAAAGCTAAGAACAATTAAAATTATATATGTATAGAAAATATAAGAACTCAAAAGGACAAGAAATTGACTACCGTATTTTATAAAGACATAAACTTTTTGATGAATGAAGTAATCCAAAAAATGCGGACCAATTAGTAGTTAAGAAAAAGCAGTAGTAATCAATTAAATAAAAAGAGAGAGAGAGAGAGAGAGAGAGAAAAAGAGACTTGTTCAGACCAAGTTTCCGAGCTTCCCTCTATAACAATGGAAATCCTCCAAACATGGGAACATTTCTATAATACGAGTTTCAATCATCATTACACTAATCAAAAAGATTTTTTTTTTTAAAAAAGTAATAAAAATAATAAGAATGAAGTCAAGAACAATATATTTGATAGGGATTCTGCTTCTAGTTTTGCTTTGTTTAAAGGAAGGCCATGCAAAAGAAAAAGATGATGATGATGAGAACAATAAAAATAAAAATAAAAATACGAATAAGAAAGGAGTAACATCCGATGGAACTTCGTTGATTATAAATGGAAAAAGAGAGTTATTATACTCTGGCTCTGTTCATTACCCTCGAAGCACACCTGATGTAAGCAGAGGGCTAATCATACGTATGATTATGCCCAATCAACAACATTTACTGTATCATGGATATGATTTTTTTCTTTCTTTCAGATGTGGCCTAGTATAATCGAGAAAGCTAGAATTGGGAGACTAAACACCATCCAAACTTATGTTTTCTGGAATGTGCATGAGCCTGAACAAGGAAAGGTTATCATAAAATTATTAGGTTTCCATAATATTATTTTGATGGTTGATTTGTTAAAAATCATTGTGCTTAAATGAGAATGGGTTCCAGTGGGATTTCAAAGGGAGGTTCGATCTGGTGAAGTTCATCAAGCTGATCCATGATAAAGGTCTCTATGTTACTATCAGACTTGGACCCTTTATCCAAGCCGAATGGAACCACGGGTATGAAACAAAGATTCAAACCCAAAATGATACATACATAAAACTTCATTTCTTTCTTATATATGCTAAACTTGAACACATTTATTTAATTTTCAGAGGGTTGCCGTACTGGCTACGAGAGGTCCCGGATGTTTACTTCCGTACAGATAATGAACCTTTCAAGGTAAAAATATTTTTAACCATATATAAAGAGGCTTTTAATGTAGTAATTTTTCTGAAATATGATATGTTGAATGGAAATGAAGGAGCATACAGAGAGATATGTGAGGAAAATACTTGGGATATTGAAAGAAGAGAAGCTGTTTGCTTCACAAGGAGGTCCCATCATCTTAGGACAGATAGAGAACGAGTACAATGCGGTAAAGCTAGCATACAAGGAGAATGGAGAGAGATATATAAGATGGGCAGCGAATTTGGTGGAGTCGATGAACCTGGGAATCCCATGGGTTATGTGCAAACAAGACGATGCTCCTGGTAATATGATTAATGCTTGTAATGGAAGGCATTGTGGTGACACTTACCCGGGACCAAACAGACCCGATAAGCCTTCCTTATGGACCGAGAACTGGACTACTCAGTACGTATGCATGCATGCTTTTCAGCTAATCACTCATCAACTCAAACTAAATAATCTTGTTTCTTACAGGTTTCGAGTTTTTGGGGATCCTCCATCAAATAGAAGAGTGGAAGACATCGCATATGCGGTTGCTAGATTCTTCTCTAAGAATGGATCTCATGTCAACTACTACATGGTACATTTATACCCCATGTAGTTACATAGATATATATATATATGCATGTGAGAGTGAGACACCTCTCTGTTTATGTTGCAGTACCATGGTGGAACAAACTTCGGACGCACGTCTGCTCATTTCGTTACCACTCGTTATTACGACGATGGCCCACTTGATGAATACGGTAATATAACTGAAAAGTTAGGACAGTCCCCGGCCGGTTTAGACCATAAAGCTAAACATTATCAAGGGTCCCTTAGCATTGTCCCTTAGCGGAAAAGTCCCTAACTTTTAACTAAAAACGCTAAGGGACTTCGGTAAAGTCCTTTAGCGTTTTTAGTTAAAAGTTAAGGGACTTTTCCGCTAAGGGACAATGCTAAGGGACCCTTGATAATGTTGCTCTAATGATCATAAAGCTGTTTGGTTATTTTTTTAAATTTAGGTTTGGAGAAGGAGCCCAAATACGGTCACCTGAAACATGTGCACAGAGCACTTGAATTGTGCAAGAAGGCACTTTTGTGGGGTCGCTCTCGTTCCCAGAGACTTGGTCCGGACACCGAGGTTACCTTAACCCCATTAATCTTTCTCTATCCGGTTATCAGAGACCTTAACGGTCCGGTTTTTGGGTTTTGTGCAGGTTAGGTACTACGAGCAGCCAGGGACAAAGGTGTGTGCTGCTTTCTTAGCGAACAACAACTCAAGAGAACCCAATACAGTCAAATTCAAAGGTCAGAGTTACGTTTTACCGTCTCGTTCCATCAGCATCTTACCTGACTGTAAAACCGTCGTCTACAACACTGCTCAGGTAAAAGCTCAGTTACAAAGTTTTTTTGTTTTATGGACAAGAAAACCATATTATTCTATTCTATTTAAAACCAATTTTATTTTTATTTTTTGAAACAGATAGTGGCGCAACACAGTTGGAGAAATTTTATAAAATCGGAGAAGAGTAGCAAAAATCTAAAGTTTGACATGTATAGTGAGAATGTTCCTTCAAAACTGGAAGGAGATAAATTGATTCCTGGGGAGCTTTATTACTTAACCAAGGACAAAACTGATTATGCTTGGTACACCACCAGGTAGGGTAACTTGTTTCACTTGATATCCTCAAGTGTGATGGCTTTGAATGATTCCATGAATTGAATAACAGCGTAAAGATTGACGAAAAGGACTTACCAGACAAAAAAGGTGTTAAGACGATACTGAGAGTAGCGAGTCTTGGTCACGCGGCTATCGTTTACGTTAATGGAGAATACGAAGGGAATAAACATGGAAGCCATGAAATGAAGAGCTTCGTTTTCAAAAAAGCCATTAAACTTAAACCCGGAGAGAACCACATTTCAATCTTGGGTGTACTTACCGGATTCCCTGTGAGTATTTTTAGAAACATTACTCAAGATATATATATATATAGAGAGAGAGAGAGAGTATACATGTTGTGACACCAATAACGTGGATTTTTTTTAAAAAAATAATAATAATTTAATTGCAGGATAGTGGATCATACATGGAGAAGAGGTTTGCGGGTCCACGTGGCGCTTCCATCATCGGTTTGAAGTCAGGAGAGCGTGATTTAACCGAGAACAATCACTGGGGACATCTGGTACGTACTTACGTCTATATATGATCAAAAGAAAGAGACAATGTCTTTGGTTTGTTGATGTAATGAAACCCTATATATATTTAAAGGCCGGTTTAGAAGGTGAAAAGAAAGAGGTGTACACAGAAAAAGGATCCATGAAAGTCAATTGGGTGAAAAACGGTGAACGCAAGCCTCTTACGTGGTACAAGGTAACACACACACACACACGTATTATTACTATTAACTCAAAACTCTTTAGAAAACATAATATTGTATTTGTAACTAAATGTTTTGCATAATGGATTTTTATTATTAATTTGCAGACATACTTTGAGACACCAGAGGGAGATAACACGGTTGCGATAAGGATGAAGGGAATGGGAAAAGGAATGATTTGGGTGAATGGGATTGGGATAGGCAGATACTGGATGTCTTTCCTTTCTCCTCTTGGCCAGCCTACTCAATCCGAGTATGTTTCTAGAGCTGTGCGTGCATTTTACTTGATGATACAAGAAAAAAAAAGTAATTTAGTTAGTTAAATGTTTCTTAAACAGGTATCATATACCAAGAACTTTTATGAAGGAGAAGGAGAAGAATTTTCTTGTCATTTTTGAAGAAGAACCACGTGTGAAACTTGAATCTATTGATTTCGTTTTAGTGAACAGAGACACGATTTGTAGTTTTGTGGAAGAGAAGTATCCAGCATCCGTTAAATATTGGAAGAGGGAAGGGCCTAACATAGTTTCAAGAAACAAAGATATGAGGTTGAAGTCACTCATCAAGTGTCCACAGGGGAAACTGATTGTAGCCGTAGAATTTGCAAGTTTTGGAGATCCCACAGGAACTTGTGGAAACTTCACAATGGGAAAGTGTTCTGCATCCAAGTCCAAAGAGGTGGTGGAAAAGGTAATTAATTTGGTGTGTGATTATTTAAGATAATATTCTTTTGGTTTGATTAAGTAAGTGAGTTTTGTGTTGAACAGAAATGTTTGGGAAAGAGTCGTTGTTCGATAGTAGTAGGAAAAGAGACATTTCAAGACAAAAAGTGTCCAGAGATAGTTAAGACGCTGGCTGTGCAAGTCAAGTGTGAGAAAAGACAAGGACAAGATCCGAAAAAGAAGAAAGAAGAGGCACAAGAGGAAGACGATGATGATGATGTTGATGAAAAGGAAAAGGAGGGAAAGAATCAAAGATAGGGAAAGGTGAAAGCAAGAGTTGCTATCAGCTTTGAGTTTGATCTAATTTAAATAAAATTTCACTGATGAAGCAAAAGCATGAAATGCTCGAGTGTTGACATAGTATTGTTGTCCAAATTATTAGAAAGAATTGTTTACTTATAATTTATAGCTTCTTGTTCTTGTTGGTGTCTTATTTTGTATTTGTTTGTTTCTGTTTTGTGACTAGCTATTATTAATATATAACTCTTCCTCTTAAGCTTAAAAAGACCTTTTCGTTTTAAGAGATGGCAAAAGTTGTGTGAAAGAGCCTCAACTCTGAAACTGAAGAAAGTTCTTGCTCGAGCTCCAGGAAAACCACAATTGTTTCTTGATCAAACATACCCGAATTTAAATGTTGCCAAGTTATGTTTCGTTTTTAAATAAGGTAGACACAGCAAAACATTAAAACTAACTGTTAGGGTGACGACCAAATGAGATCGAAAGGGGAATGGAACTCTAGTATCCATATTATTAGACCGACCAAATTAAGAAAAATCTAAAGGGGGAAGATAAAGCCTATCACCATCTTTCTTTATCTACTACACAATTACAGCTCTGTCTCTGCAAAGAAAAAAGCTTGAAACAAACAACAACATTCTCTATATCCATCTTTCTCATTACAAATCTCCGGGAGAGAGAGAGGACTCGAGAGAACACTCGTCACTCATTTCACCATCTGGCTTTCGGTTCTTCGGCTTTTGTCAGATCATTAAAACCCAACAAAAACAAACATAATCTCAGTCTTCCAATGTAAATGTACAGAGAGAGAGAGAAGATTGGTTTATAGCCTCAACAAGGAGCTGCTTATGACAGGTCAAAGGATCCTTGCCCTTCGTTGATAGCGTAAAGCAGTTTCTTGTACATGATTTCCTGTTTCAGGTACAAACAACTGTTCATACTCACACCCCAAAACAATCACCACGTACTTGAAAGATGAAAAGAAATATGAAACTCACCTTTGTAGAGTAAGGAGGGAGCTTAAGGTAGTTGGCGCAAGTCATGACGCTGGGTAGATCATCGTCTGCCGTCTCTGAAACCCCTGTCCCGTTGGCTGCCGCACTTGATGTTGATGAATGCTACAAGCAATCCCAATGGGAAACCAAATACACAACAACTTCAGGAAAGAAAGACAAATCCTGTCTGTAGATGCATTCTGATATATACTTTGGTGGCTTGTCTTCTTAACCGGATATATAAGTATAAGCTTTCTTACCTTTCTCACAATCGTCAGTTTTGGGTTCAGAACAGCTAAGCCGCCAGGAGGAAGCCTAGGAGCTCCAGTTACAAACTGGCAGAAAGCCCTCTGTTCATCTGCTGTAAGCTCTCCCATTATCTCCAACAACTACCGCCAGGGTGAAAAGCAAAGTCAAAAAGGAATCAACAATAAAGAAGCAAAGCTTGAGTGTAAAAAGAAATGTTTTTTAACAAACTAGGGAAAGTAACTTACGTTAATGATTGCCGGACTTTTTGCAGTATAACCATGATCAAACTTGATATGTTCAACAAGAGTCTCCGCCTGCAAGAAAAGGAAGGTTTTAGAAATGAAATTTTATCTAAGCTGATTCAAGTCTCCGGGGTAAGGGAAACTAAAAAGTTAAAAGAATCACCTCCCATAACTCTCTACGACCACACAGCAAGTAGTCCAGCTCAGAAGGGGTGAATATTTGTAGAGATGTTATGTCAAAGAACTATAATGCAACCAAAAGTTTGAGGTTAGACAAAAACAAAGACAACAAAAAATCTCGAACCTGACATAACCATTCATTCTATACCGATTAAAACCACCAAAGGCAACATGGGAAGAAAGAGACAAACTGCAAACCTGATTGAATCCAGATCTGAAGGCTTCCAACTGCCGGGCAATACCTTTCTTGACAGTAGCATCAACGACCAGAGATATATACTCCTCAAGACTATTAATATCAACCTGTAACAGAACAGAAAAACAGCACGGTATCATCAACCAAGGAAAGGGTTTAAAAGAATAGTAAGTAAGACATGGTATGCAAGCTTAGACCGTACAATTTCATCTCCTGGCCTCAGAATGTATTCAGGATAGCCAGGTAGAGTGAAGTCCAAGCAGAGATCTTCAATACGGGATCCACGTAAAGATAGATCAGAAATTGCGCTCCAGTTGTCACCACCTACTGCCTCCAGATACTGCTTACGGCCAACTAGAACACGAAGCTCTTGCAATGTCTTGCCCAGTTCAGCATCAAATAATGCAATATCATGCAAATCAAGCTCCTGCTCAAATGAGGAAAATAAAAGAGGAACCAATTATTAACAAATGCTAAGAAAGGTTGAAAAAGTAGAAACCGCTATTCCACTCTTAACTAAACAAAACGAATCACTGATGGTAAAAAAAGCTCACTTGACCAAGAACCAGCTTATAGAACGCTGTACTCAATGGCAAGTCCAATAGCCGTCCATCTTGAAGTGCTTTTGCCATTACGCGCCCTAAAAGGCGGAAATATTCAATTGCTTTATGAAACCGGCTACCTTCAGACACGTCGGCTGTTGAAGGCCACGGTCGAGGAAACAACCCAAGTGGTGCCCGAACTATATCCCTGTCCCTAGCTGCAGATGATTTCTCGTCTTCAATCTCATCTTCATCAATTTTCCTACATACCTTGTCACCAGAATTCGATCTCCACATCCCAAGGGCAACCTTTTGCAAATCATGGCTTAGGAGTGTGTAAAACTCAAGTGTAGGGCCTAGACCAGTACCAACTTCACCAAAATATTCTACTTCAATCACAACCTTTTGGCTAGAATACATCTCCATAACTTTCGCAGCAGAATCTAGTATCCTCTTTCGAGATACACGTACTTTCTGGCGCTGCAATCTCCCTATTCTCATCTCCCGTTCATTCGTTGACCCACTGCCGTCAACACCTTGCTGCTGCTGCAAGCGATTCAATGCACGGGACAGCCCAAAAGCAGTTGAATAGAAATACTGTCTCCGGGTCTGAAACGGAAACAAAAAAGGGCATGCTCTAGTCAACTGGTAGCACCAAGAGGGAAGACTTCCACTGCACAAAGCAAGCGCATCCTGGATCTGTCGAGCTAATTTGGGTGTAAGTTTGCTGTTGATGAACTCTTCATGAGACACCTTAGCAGCAGTTGTATTCAAATCATCTAGACTTGTAATTTTACCCTCTGCAAAACGATCAGAAACAGTTTGGGCTCTTAACCGGGGGGAAAGCTGATTTAAACCCTCTAAAACACGCAACAGCGCCAGAACATTATATGTCGAATTTGACTTCTCAAGGTCGCAAGGAAGCTCCCCTTGTAAAATACTATCCAAAAGAGAAGCCCTATATGACTGGGATTCTGAGCTAGCATTGGTGGTAGCAGATTTAGTGGTGGATTTTGATGGTGTTGTAGAACTTCCTCCACCAACAGACAACCTATTCACTTGGGTATCCGGCCTCTGGTACATGATTGTGCATATATCATTTAATCTGCTTCCATCACTTGAGATGAAATCGCTGCCACCGAACCTGTCATCATCATCTTCGTCTAGCATAAGTTGCCGCTGCACAGCCTGATAAATCGTCATATGTTTACTAAGTTGCTTGCCTCCCGCAGTAAATATCAACTTAGAGGGATGCAGGTCTCTACTTCCCCTGATACCTCTACCACCGGCAGCTTCAAGGCCAGCCATGGCTGCAGCCGCAAAGGAGAGCGCACCCCTAGAACCATAAGAATTCCGAATGCCAGCATCAGCAGAATCAGATCCCCTTGCGGCTGCAGTTCCACTAGTGCCTCCAGGAGCTGGATTCATCTTGCTGCCGCTAGCTGCCAGATCCGCACCCTCGTCATTCACTGCGTCCCCCAATTTCACATCATGAACTTTATCAGGCGTGCACACGGGAAGACTGTCATCCAGAACCTGGAATGAATTTATGTATAATTGTGAAGCTATTACTGAAATCAACGAAGTAACTATGATTGATAGCAGCCAGATAAATATGAGAAATCTTGATATAAATTCTCTTTGGTCAATTCTAGAAGAAAAGGTTCCAACTGGGTCTTATCCAGTTATACGGAAGCTGACAAGCATTATTCCTAAATGTATCTTTCATGTTGTTGGCAAGAGAAATAACTGTAGTGTGTAGTGTACATACAGAGACAAAAAAAAAAAAAAAAAAAAAAAA